TGGAAATGTCCTTGTCTGGTTTCGCCTTCTGTGTCAACTTGGGATAACAATCATGGCTTTTCCCACCAATTTGGATTCATAGATGTGCAATTGCCCAGTTCAGTCATGTGGATAATGCATTCATCCTATAACACTGTATTTCAGTTTTAGGACAGTGATGGTTGGAGAGGAACAGTTGCCACAAGAAAAAGTAATGAACCATTTAGCAGTTATACTGCAGTATATTGTAAAGTATCTCATGGTGTCTCTCTCCATCCCTATCCATCTGTAGCAATAATCATATGACATGGTCTTTGAAATAGTGGCACAACCAAGGGACCACACCAGGCATTTCAGATCCAGTTCAAGTTCCCATGCCGTTTCTGACATTGGCCTCATTGATACAACTGTGTCACACCTGAGTCGTGAAGATGGAGTGTCTGTAGATGTTCTGGTTCCTTGGTGAGTATAAAATACAGGAGTGAAGGAAAAATAACACATTCTAGTTGTGATGAGGAATACAATAACCCATCACCATAGCAAAGAGCACATTTTATTTGAAAAATACGAATAAAAGATTTTGTCCCTTTTGTTTATTAAAAGAAAATGTAACAATTTTCTATCAGTAACACTTGCATAAGGAGGTATATTTTACATTACTCTTTTGTTAAAAAAAATAGATATATTTTTGGAGACTTTGGAAAAATAAGAATGGCCCAAAACTTGTAACACACTTCTAATGCTCCTTAGAATGCACTGTGCCATTTATATGCACTGCAAGTACAAGGTCTTAGCATTTTATAATCCACAAAGTAATGCTAGGCAGCATAATTTCATATCCTTCTTTGCATTCAGAATATTCCCTTTGTTACCCTTGTGTGAGATTATGAGTTTGGTTAATAATAATTCCAGCCTGGTCCAACACTTATATTTTGTAAAAGATGATTAAAAAAATTCTTAGACCACAAAAATTTTGTAATTCATTTTAAATACCATATATAATACTTTCCCATAGACATTTTCTTTCAGTATTCATAATTTAAACAACTGCATAAATTAGAATTAAAACTCAAAAATGTTTGCAGTTATTTTAGTTCTCCATGAAGAATCCAAAAAAATAAAGTGCATAACAGCGTGAAGTTACTTTCAACTTTTACAGTATTCTATGTGTATGTAATAAAAGCTAACACTGTTAAACAAATTCATTTGTTTTCAATGTATGAATCTTAATCTAACTCCAGCTGAATTCAAGCTCTTCCTTGTCTTTAAAGTGCATTAAAACTACATTTTTGACAGGTTTTAGTTTGACAATTTAGTTTCACATTTTACAATTCTTATACTGACCATTTTTTCAGATTATTTTGACTTCTCAAGATTACAGCATACTGAGTGCCCTCACCATTACAAGAAAGAGGGTTTATTTGAAGGAATTAAGCTAATTATTTTGGTGGAAATGTACTATTAGTTGAATGGTTGTTGTAGAAATCAAATTGCAAATAGAAAAGCCCTTAAGTATCACTTTGCGTGTGCCATTTAACTCAGTATTTTCAGTTTAAGTCAAACTGGCAGTTTTCAGCATTTACTTGTTAAGCAGCAACTGGATTACTATTTAGGCTAATAGGAAAATATTTGAGAATATGAGTACACAAAAGATTCATGAAAGCTTTAAGCACAGTCTATATAATCAGATTTCAACATAAACTGAGAAAATTTTCCCACGATACTTTCACTGAATATATGCTTTGTTTAAATCCGCAATGCTACGAAATAATTGTGCCATCCAGTGTTAATTTTCTTCCACTTCTAAAAAGGTCAACATAGAATCTAGGTCAACATAGAATTTCTCAAGTCTAGTTTAAATTTGGTTTTAGGATACAAAGGACCAAAGGAAAAAAATGTGAGACCGGGATAATACAATTGTAAACTTCTTATTTCTGCACTGTGAGGCCTTGTTCTGTGGCCCTGAAGATTTAATATTCTGTTATTTGTCATGCAAACAACACGACACTGTGATGTGTATTTGAATAAAACACAGTAAGCATAGCAAGCATGCAGACATATCATGATAGAAAAGCACATTTGGCGATCACTGTGGATAGGACATACCAAACAGGACACACCGCAGCATCACAGAAGCAGCGTCTCAATAACCCTGCAGAGTTTTAAAGGACTCGGGTTTCCTGGGGTATGATGCGTGTGCTGTATAGCAGCAAAGACAGACCCAGGAATGGTAAAAAGGGAAATATTATTTCTCTGAGATATTATGAACTTAAACTGACCATTAGGGCAAGGAGTGACTATTTGTTTGTGTCACTGCACTTCTGTTGCCTGTAAGCCTGAACGTTTTGTAATATAAATAAAAATACTCAATGGCACGAACTCTGCTTTAAACACAAAATACAATTGATTTTCCCTGCTTTGGTGTAGGGCCAGAGGGAATAGACATAAAGATAACTAATACCTAGTTCTCAAAACTATAATACAACAATGAATGCAATTTTCATGCAGCTGTGATACAAAGTATTATGGTAGTAGTAATGCTGAAACATTTTGCTTTTAACACTCTACTCATACAGTATAAAAATTTAGATGTTGGCATAAAGCAAGTGTGACTTAAACAAAAAGAAAATTTCTCCTAATAAAATCGCACAATACTAGCTGATTTATTTGGGACAAAACTGAAACACATCCTAGTTCTACCCCCAAAAACACAATAAAAGACAACCATTCTCAGCTTGTGTGTAGCTCTTACTGCATCTAATTTCACTCTACAGTAAGAATGCCTCCTTAAACGCTTTTCTAAAAGAATCTGCACTTCATAAAAAGTATATTAAAAAATTAACACAAATTAGTAAAGTACTTTCAAATCACCAGCAGAATATCTTGGGGTTCAGGTTTTTTTCCCTACTAAATTTTCCTGTGGGTTCATATTCTGAAAGAGAGAAGACTAATTACAATTTTTAAACAAAATAGTGTACAACAAAACAATTCTGGAACTACAGTACAACTAATAATTTTCAGAGCGTAAAAGTTGCTTACAAAGCTACTTGCTATTTTTTCCAGAAGGCTGCTTGAGCCAAAAGCAGTCAACTACATCTCAGGGAAAAAAAAAAAAAAAAAGATCTCTTCAAAATAAACTGATCAGAAATTTCAGTCATGTCTAGGACCTCTCCAACCATAGAATAAAGAAAAGAAGTCTTAATTATCTAGTTCACCTGTGTGGCTCACAGTAGATCAGCAATAAATATAGACCCTTTTACAAAGCTGATTATAAGTGGCACCTAAATGCAGAGGGAGAAATCTAGTGAAGCATACAAATCTGTATCACTCTGTATACCACATATAGACCACAGAATAAGAAAAAAAGTACACAGCTTCTACTATGGACAGTTTTCCAATCAGAGGCATACTGGAAGAAGTCAATTTGTCTAAAGTGGAGCTAGAATCAGAAGCAGAGGACGGTTGATAGTGATCGTGAGTATCATAGGTCATAATCTCTCATGGGATATTATGAGTTCCTGGTCCTCTCACAGTATTATCACCAGAAAGACAAAGAAAAGGTTAATATTTCAAACAAAGGAAAGGAAAAATCTGAATCTGCTAGATGAGGTGTGAATCAGGCTGCTATGTTAAGCAGAGCTGTTTAACAGTTCTGCTGCTGCAATGCTAAAAAAAGAAAAAAAATAATTGCTGGATTAGGTGTTAAGCAGCTTGCTATGTTAAGGAGAACTATACTTTCTGCAATGCTCCAAAGTTACTAATGTAAGAAATCAATTTACTTAATCCATAGGAACCACAGTAATGGTATATTTCCTTCACTGACTTAAAATGCTCTTGTTTCCATGATGCTTGAAATAGGGAAAAACCATCTTGTTCTGCTGAGGTGGCAATTACTCTAAGAGAAATAGATATCAGTAGATTGAATTTAAAAGAAAAAAGCATCATCATCTTATTCTCCTTGCTTCAACTTTCACTATCCCAGTGTTTTGCCATCAGCTCTATTTTGCTTTTGGTCACACACAGAAATAGAAAAGTGTTGTGATTGAGAACTCTGGGTTTTAAAGAGACTGTTGTAGCTTCTGGACTCAGACCAGCAAAAGATTTAAAAAGCTTCAGGTCTTGACATAAGTGAAGCACAGTGAACCAAAAAACTCACATAGTTTAATGGTGTTGCCATTGTTTTTTATTGAAAAAGCCTATGCTTCATCTGCTTTGCTGCATAAAGAGTACTTTGGGCCTATTCCATTTAGATGAATGATGTTCCCATGAAAAGACAAAAAGAAAAAGCACAACACTGGAAACAACAGTTCCTCTAGCACGCAGTAACAGAGCAGGTCTGGGGATATGAGCTAGAGCTGTGTTTGAGCTACAGATAATGATGCCCTCCATCTGTTAGCTGGTTATGGACGACAAGATTATGAAGGACATAATGAAATGACAGCTTCTCAATGCAACCTGCAAGTCAATAAGATTAAATCATCAAAGGACCATTTATTTAAGAAGACAGGTGTGGCTTATCACCTCTGTAAAGGAAACAGACTGGTAGCACTTCTCACACTGATAGTAAACCTCATTGTCTACCTCATGTTGGGATCACAAGGCCTAGAGCACAGATAGAAATACAACATCACATCCACCTGCAAAAGATTTGATCCTCTTTTAGCTCTCTTCTCAAATAGACATGACCATAAACTTACTGCAGCTTGGAGCTGCTATGCATATTGCAATAAAAATGTCATTTCTTGGCTTTACTTTAGGTATTGTTGCAGATAAGGTACCAGATACTTTAATGAGCAATTAAAAAAAATACACAAGGGACAATAGATTCTTTTTTCTGTATTTTCCAAAATTTGACTTTCTTTCAATTGGAGAACCCAGTTTCAAATATGAAAAGGGCACTTGTTCTACAGTAACTGCATACAATTTACTCAGTTCCAAGTACTGTATTCACTTTTTTTTGTTACCATTGTTGTCATTATCTGTCCAGTTGTTTAGGAACTTCTCTGTTCTGGGAATTACAACTAAGTTGTTCTTTCTGGTTCTATTTCCCCATAGAGTTCAGCTAGCTTCTTGAACTCGGGTCCCCAGTCTCCAAGGTAATTATAATCCTGGTCAGAATGTGTCGTTGCTGAATCCAGAGAGCTGATAGACCCAGCTTCTGATCTATGACCCTCATAGGCATATGTCTGCAGGGAGTCATAGGGGGGTACACTGGGGTCCAAATCAGCCTCTGCCAGTCTTTGATTAAGGAACTCCTGAACATCTATACTGTCAAGGCTTGAGGAGGGATGATTCCTGGACAAAGGCTTCACTTCAGGCCGAACATCCCTCCGGTATTTTAGCTCTTCGGCAGCAGATGGGTTCCGCAGTGCTGTGATGTCAAATGCTTCTGTGTCTTCCTCTCCACCTCCCTCATCGTCATAGGTCACAACATTTTCCCGGACATCTTCTTCTGAAATGATCAAAGGCTCCTTCTTGCTACGTCTTAGGGTGATGAAAAGGACCACAATTGCTAAAGAGAAAACTGCAGATATTAGAGTAGGTTTAAAGTTTACATCTGAGTATGTTACAGAAATAGCAGACACTAAGTCAAAAATACAGAGGTATAATATTTCCAGGCTGGTATTTTCAGTACTGGCATTTGGGATCATCTGCTACTTAGTTTATTAGGGATCTCATAAAGGAAATAAATGGAGATAACATTCTTTCAGGTAAATGAAAAATGAGTAACTAAAGTTGGCATTTTTCAGAAGCATAATCCAGGGCTTCCAGTGCTTCATTAAAACCAATGTTTAGCATATAAATTGAATTTTTATGTTAAAAAATTCTTTTTTTCTTATGAATATTCAATTTTGTGTAATAAAATACAAAATTACAAGATAAATATATAACTATTATTTTTAAACAGCCTTCTGACATGAAAATACTAAAGCAAGCTGTAAAGAAAGTAGGTCTTAGAAAATGTAGACTTTGGGGGAAAAGTCCTCAAAATATTCTCTTGGTTACACTGCAATTACTATTATTTCTTTCCATCTCGGTAAGAATGCAGAAAATCACATGAGTAGCACGGAGTCATGTATGCAGAAAGTTCTGTCTCTGACAGGAAAAAAAACCCAAACCAAAACCAACCACAATATTAACTAATAGGTAACATTGGAATTGGCCTGGAAAAATAAAAAACCTAAAAAGAGTCAAGAGGAAATGCACTTGAAATGGCATTAATCTTATGAGTCTGCTTATAGTCTCCCATGTCCCTTGTCCCTGTGGATTATTTTGTGAATTGCTATCAGTTTATTCCACAAAGGTAATTAAGAAATGGCTTTTGTAGAGTGCTAGAGTGCTTCTTACAGCACAACGCATTTCAAAAAGCTTTGCCCATCTATTTTCTATATGTTCAAGATATGGTATTAGAGTTGTCTCTCTTTGAAATCTTTCCAAATTATGGAAAAAAGAGATCTCCAGTGCTAATTACTTGATAACCTCTGAAAAATATTTCTACTGCATTCCAGATATTCAAAAATGTACTTTAAAGGCACTTTCCCCCTATTAACTCTAGCTAAACCTTTACCCTCTAATTACAGCTGTATGTTTCTAACTGCCTCCAGGCAACCACTGTTTCAAAAGCAGGGCCCTGTCAGATTTTTGTTAGCATTGTTGTCATTATCTGTCCAGTTGTTTAGGAACTTCTCTGGGAGGCGTTGGAGGGATAGCATTATGTAGTATTGCAAATGGCTCACCAAGAAGGATGACAATGCAGAGCAGGATTGCAATTAAAGCTCCTGTGCTCAAGCCAGCCGAGGAGAGGAAAGCTTCAGCATGGCAAGTTCTCACTCGTCCGTCTCTCTCACAGGCACAAACCCGGATGGTGAGGGTACTGCTGCTGCTGAGAGGGGGCACACCACCATCAGAAATCAGAACTGGCAGGTAATAAATATCTTGAGTTGTTCGACTGTATCTCCTTCGTCTTGTCAGAATACTGGCTGTATTATCTGCAATATCAAAACAAGAATAACATTTCAGTGAAGTAAAAAATGAAAAAAAGGAAGTTATTTACTGTTTGTTTCACATCAAATGGAAGTATGGGGCTTCCTAAAACTAGCAAGCCCTAATCTATGAAAATGCACAATATAGAATTAAAATTTGCCAGGAATCCTTTCTGATCAATAGAAGAAAAAGGGTAGGAGTTGATAAGTAACTACACATGAAACAAATAAGAGTATTTAAAACTCTTGTATTTTTTTTGGAATCAAGTGAACTTTGACAAACATTTTGGGCTCAATTTTCAAGTTTTTTCATCCTGTATTATGCTGTTGGTAGCATAAGGACCCTTGTCAATACCTGGAATTATGAGGACATCTATTGTGAAATTTTTGCACAACACAAAATCCAAAATCCTCTTGACTCTCAGAAGAATATTAAAACTCCTTTAGTAAAAACTAAAATAAGACTGTTTTAGTGCTTATTAAAGGTTTTAAGTTTTAGTGAGCTTTCAGCTTTTTAGTGACCAAAAATACGTGCCTTGGAGAGGTGTGGAGGAAGAGGGAAGGCAAAGGAAGGCAAAGGAAGGGCAAAAGAGCAGATATTACATGTTCTAAACTAGTAGAGTTTAAAGATAAATAAGAAACTGGGAGATTGTGACTTAAGATATTTTCACCCTTCCGTTACCTATGGGTCCATTTGGCATGACAGACAATGAAAACTTTGTGCTTATTACACATACATTGCAAGAGCACTTGTAGGCACTAAGGAGAGTAGGAATTTGCCACACACATCCCTTCAAGTCCAATAAATTAAGAGGCATAAAGAGCATTCAGGGGAAGAAATGTTGCAACAATATGTAGTTATAGCCAATATTCATATGGGTAAAATTTATTTTCAGTTTTTTGATACCACTATTAAATTACTAGCCTCTGAATAAAAGTTCAAGATAAATTAAAAAAAGAAAGTGGAAACAGAATTTGAAGCACAAGCAGTTATGGAGAAAGAGAGATGAGGACCGATAAATGCAAAGAGACATTAGAAGAAAAGAGCTTTCTTCTTGTATTGCTTGTCACATGGTTTCCAAATTGTGGGGTTATGAAATTGGAGTATTTTAGCAAACAATAGAAGGGTGATAAGTACTGAATAAATCTGCCAGGTTTATCTTCCTATTACAAACAAACAAGAAAATTTCTTATTTTTCCTTACCACTGTAGCTACACTATTAAATGGCTTTATCATAATCTATGGAAAAATGAAATCCATGTCACTCTGTGAAAATCTAGTGCAACAATATAGCTATTGTGGCATATATTTGCCCATTAGACTGCTGCACACACATTTGAGTGAAAGAGTTAAGTTTTTGTTTCAGCTGGATGCACGATCTGTTTCAGGTGGTTATTCTTCATGCTATACTTTCTGTCAAGCTCTCTGCAAAATTTTAAAACATTCATTTTAACACACTTTTGCCAATGCTTTATTTTGCATGCTATCTCACTGTGATATTTAGAAAAACTGGTAATATCATCCCACATCAGCATAATATCACAATATATTTGATAACAGGTTTCACACAAGAAATACATATATGAGCTGGGAAGTGATAAAATTGCTGATAAGCCAAGAACTCAGCACTGAAGTTCTTTAGCTTTACTTCTGTACATAAGCAACAGCCACAGCACCCCTCCACACTCTCCCCCATTTTGGAATCGTCGAATATCCAGCATGGTGAGTTTGTTACAAGTTCACTAAGTGTTGTTTTTTTCACTTGGAGTGGGTGCAATATAAGGTGTTTATTCATTTGCTTATTTGCTGTAGGCCTTGGAGTACTTCTTCTACTTGTTTATGTCAAGTTTACTTGTTTTGTCAAGTTTATTTCTTCAACATTATGTTTTGATGACTGATGACAACAGTCACTTGTTGTACTGTTATATATATATATGTATATATATATATACACACACACACTGTTATATTATACTATATTCATTCAACAGAACCTTACTGGAACCAGAATAAGGTGATAATTCTTTAATCTTAAAAATTGTGACAGAACATAAGAACATAATGTTGTGAAAGACTATAAAATATCCATGATATAACATACTTGGCAAAGTTATTCGTTACATATATATCCTGCACCCAAAATATTTTGCATTTTGTTGTTCTGGGTCAACTAGGACTCTCACATAACACCCAAGCACAGTCACTGTTATTAATATACACCAGAGACCCTTCTCAGACAATATGGACAAGAGTGCACCAGGTTTTTTTCCTGCCTCAGCATTATTCCAACCATCTGCAGATCCTTAAGCATTCCTAAATAGCCTCATGCAGGCACCATAACACCCTGTGGCATCTAAACTCCTTTTGCAATATGATAACAGTGCACTGTTGAGCTGCAATAGAACTTTCACATTATTTTGTAAATTCTAAAGAGAAAAATATATTGATAATGAAGTCTGGGTTCCATTGGTTTCTACACAGAGTCAAGAGGAGGTACACGGCTGAGTGCTACACTTGTTGCCTGTGACTTAAATTTTAGAAAGAGTGAATGATCCAGTGCACAGCTCAAGTAGCAGTGATGAAAATGCTCGCTGACAGCAAAAGCATCAGAGACTGAATATAATGAAGAAAAACTGAGGACTCCTTATCAGGGGTCTTGCAGTAATTTTAGCACAGAGACTATTGGCAAAGATGTAAAGGAAAGAACATTGATATGTGAGAATGTATGCTACAAGGGTAAATGTGGACAGATAGGAGGAAAATTGTGAGGAAAAAAAAATGAAAGCTAAGAGAAAAAAAGAAAAGAAGAGAAACAAATGAAGAAAGGGAAATATATAATTCAATGTTATAGTGAAAAAATGTGAAAAAAGCTATAATTAAACCTTGCTTCTCTGGGAGGAAGGCCTTGTCAAAAAAAGAACTGATATTTTTATACTGTACAGAATAAATACAAATTTTAAAAAAAATAGAACTTTTTTCAGTGTTGCATTTTTTCATTCAATATTAAATTGTTTTTCTTGTACTGTTAATATTATACAACTAAATATAAGATACAATGAAATATTGGTATAGCACACAATTAAAGGAAAAAGGGAACCAGTACAAAATTTTTAATTTTGAAGATTTGCCATGGTGAATCTTTGGTTTTTGTATTCTCTTGTGTAGTAAGTAGATTTCTGTAGAAACAGATGTTACATGACATACCCAGAAGTTTCTGTAATAACATACCTTGTGATAAACATTCTCAAAGAAACAGTGTAAAATTTTTCCTTCAATGAAATTTCACAAATTTTAACACAAAACAAAGTATGATCTTTGAGACACTGGCTTGGAAATTTTCTGTTCCCAATATCAGAGGTGTTATTTCTCATTATTTCTCTATCACAGATTTAGGTATGGTAACTTAGTGCTTACATATAAATAAAATACTAGAATGCATTGAATTCTAACATACTATTTTTGTCTCATTAAATTTCTTAAAACATTTTACAAAGATACCTAACATTTTTTCAAAAAAATAAATTGTGTCTGGTTTCGCAAAGGTCACTGAGAATCAAGCATAGCAGAAAATTATCAAAGCCAATCATATTGCCATAACACAGAATTTACATCTCTGATGCTCTAGTCAGAGCTCCATTCTTGAGGACAATCATATGCAAAGGTATGCCAACAAAATGAATGTAGAGAGAAAAAGTTTAGCCAAACTGCAATATTGACTGCATCCTGACAACCATCCAGCATTCTGGTGTTCTGAGCTTTCAAATATTAATTGCTTTGTTTCTGGTCAAAAATCATTATAGGAATGTGTTGAGAGAAGAGCTAGAAAGACATTAGCTTTTAAGAGCTTTGCACAGAACGAAAAATCTCTCCATCTGTAAAAGCTATAGGAAGCCAAGTACAAAGTCTGACACTGATGACCTAGAAAAGAGTTTATTGAAAAGGGGAAAAAAGTTATATCAACAGCAGTAGTTTGAAAGGGAGCCAGGGGGTTATGCAGTGAGAAATTTATTTGGTATTAGAAAAAAAAGATACAGCAAATACTCAGGGAAGGCAAGCATTTAGGATAGCAGCAAAAGAATAGGATGATGAGCACTACAGATCTCATTCTTCTAGGCCTGGAAGGAAAGACTTTTTTATCTCAATAGATTTAAATGGTGAACTTCACTCCGGAGGAGTATGGTAAGAACCAGGATTCACTGAAGATTACAGGACTGACTGCTAAGAAAAATTAAAAACTCCCACATAAGGAAAGAAATATTTATCTGATACCTGGTGTTATACATTGCTCCATTTAATGATCTAAACTTTCTAATGATCTAAACTTCTGCTTGGACTGCTCTTTGCAAATATGTCAACTAGAAGTTAAGCTTTATCGTGAGTTGAGGTTACCCATGGGAAATGCTGCATGGCTGTAACACAGCAACTCTTCACAACTGAAGATGTCGTAGTTTACTAAGCCAGGCTGTACACTGCATACAAGATTGTTATTACAGTTTTTTTCCATCATCTCTGCCTTTTTACTTTGAGCTTCTAAGCTAAATAAAGAAATGAGGGCATGGGAAAATCAAGGAAGCAGTGATACAATGGTAAGACTATGGAAGGTGACTGCTGGAGCACATTGAAAGATGCTAATTTATTATTCACAGCTTGAGAATTCCTTTCACACATTATGCATTAAAAGCAGAGACAAGAGAAATAGAAGAAAAATAAAAAAGTAAAATCCTGTTTATATCTTAAGGCATGTTTCAATTTTCAGTTCTGCTTGTGTCAGCAGTCCAACTACTATAAATATTCTGAGAAGTCATAAACTAATTAAAACCAAAGAAGATACATTGGAATGATTTGCATTTCTTACATTTCTAAAGTTGGAGCTGTTAATTTGTTTATGTGAACTACATGATAGGCATTTCTGTTTCATTTCTTTATTGATAACTCTTGTAAATATTTTTTCTCTTTTGCTGTCTTCAAAGCCATTGCCAATGGGCAAGAAGCTATTATAAGTTTC